GGCGGCTTGGTGTCTGCGCTGCACTGAGACGTCAGAACCAAGGACGGGGAGACGAGGACCCGCTGGTCATTCTTCACCAGCAGCCAGGCGTCGTCGAAGCTGTAGCGTTTGAGGTGGACAATGAGGACCCGGGGCAGCCTGCCGAACCAGCTCCTCAGCACGGAGCGCCTGTGCTGGCACCGCTCACACCGGTACTGCAGCTCCTCGGCTGCAAAGAAGAGGTCCAGCGCAGTCTGGACGGACAGAGGCAGGGGTTCTGTCCCGCGGTGCAGGTCCAGGGACAGGTGGTTGCTGGGCTCTGTCTTGAGGACCACCCAGCCACACTCTTGGCACGTGATGGAAATCTGCATCTCAAACTCAAAATTAGCACTAACAGGGCAGTGGGAGGCTTCGGAGGCAGGGCTGCCAGGGCTCAGCTCTGGGTCTGGGTCCCCCCCAGCCTCCCCGCCAGCCTCCGCGCCAGCCTCCGCGCCAGCCTCCGCGCCAGCGCTCCAGGTGGCCTTTAAATCCTCAAACTCGCCCTTGAGCTGCTGTAAACACTGGCCTAAAAATTCATGCGCGTCGTTCTGCTGGCTTCCCCGAAAGGCCTCCGCAGCCGCTGAAATGGCACCTTTGATGCTCAGGAGCAGCTCCTGCTTGGTCTCCACCTTGCAGAAATCTTTCAGAACCAGCAGCCAGCTCAGGGGCGTGAGGAGGGCCCCCGAGGACGCTGTCCCCCAGGAGACGCTCTGCAGGAGCAAGCCCTGGGCGAAGGACGGGATGGCCAGCAGCGCCTGGAGCACGGCGTTCATGTAGCAGGTGTTCCCCAGGTTGGGGAGGCCGCGCCACGCCCACCCTGGCTCCGCAGGAGTGTCGGGGGCGGCCGGGGCTCCCTGCCACCCCGGGYTGTCCCCGTCCGASTCCGGGTTGTCCCCGTCCGACTCCGGTGGAGACCCCAGACTGGTTCTGTCGGAGGGCGTCTGGGTGGGAAGCGCCGCCTCGCGCGGGTCAGGCCCCGGGGTGGGGCTGGTCCCGGCTGAAGGCCCAGCGTCCTCCGAGTTTCCTTCTTTTCCTTCGTCGTCTAAGCTCAGGGGTCGCTCCCCGTGGCTTCCTGCAAACTTCCAGGGCTGGGCCCGGCATTTCTTGCTGGGCACCAGGTCGTCTTCTCCCAGCGCGTCCTCGCTCTTCTTCATCCTCCTCTTACCTTCACATTCTAGTGACCCTTTCTTCCCAAGAGGTCGTGGCTCTGACATCAGCCAGGCGTCTTCTCAGAAGGAAGGTTCACTGCTGCTTTGGGTACGAAGGGACCCCCAAAGTGGCTTGAGGTTGTGAAACAGGATTCTGTCGGCTACCAGATCCCTGTTCTCGAGGACAGACCACTCTCCAGTTCCGTGGGATTTTGAAATCTCTTTTGATGAAATGTTTTTGATGGTTCAACACCTATGTAGGATGATTTGCCAATGAATAATAAGGTCACGTCCTGCCATGTCATACCTCCAGTGAGGACACTGGCCATGTCACTGCTCAGCTGGGAAACCCACGCCCTCTCCGGGTCTGGAAGTGACTGCCAGCTTCATTTCCTTTCCTCCCTCCAGCGAGTCAATGAAGGTTCCTCTCCACTTCCTGGTCCCCGTCCCCTTGCTCCAGATTTGTGTTTGTCTTTGGAGGAAGCATCCTTTCTTTATAAATGAAACACTGTACCCTAAAGGACAAAAAGCACACACCCTCATTTTAACCACCGTGATCCAGCCACGACGCTTGGTGTAAGACCCTCTGGAATACCATTTGCTATTGTTCCCCTCAAGTCCCAAGTGAAAGTTGCTTGAGGAGCTGCTGACGTTCTAAGCCCTGCCAGCCTTGGAACACATCTGCCCTCCTTTGGCCATTTTTAGTGGTCAAAATGGACCGTTGTGCTGGTGCGGAAGGTACGTCACCTCCTGACAGACCTGAGAGTGCAGGGTCTGACAGGCCCAGAGCACTCACACAGCAGGTCTGAGGACTGGCCTCCTGGGGGCACAGAGGGCCACTCAGCAAGCAGCAGGGGGACACAGGTGGATGTGGTGGAGAGCACACGAAGGTGCAAAGGAAGGAGAAGGCAGAAGATGAGACAGAGGGGCTCAAGGACACCGTAGTCCCCAGGGAGGAGCAAACCAGACCCACAGTGAGCTGTCACCACAGCTGCTCTGACGGCCTGTATGGAGAAGTCAAGAGATGCTCAGTGTCTTCCAAGGAACCTCCATACTGCTTTCCCGAGTGGTTGCAAAACTGGGAATGGAACCCCATTTGACCCAGCTGTCCCTCTCCTTGGTCTAGACCCAAAGGACTTAAAGGCAGCACACTTGAGGGACACAGCCACATCAATGTTTATAGCAGCACAGTTCACCACAGCTAAACTGTGGAGCCCACCTAGATGCGCTTCAGTAGATGGATGGATAAAGAGACTGTGGTATATCAACACAGTGGAATGTTCCTCAGCAATAAAAGAGAATAACACGATGGCATTTGCAGGTAAGTGGATGGAGTTGGAGAGGATCATGCCGAGCTTAGTAAGTCAATCCCCAGAAAACAAAGGCCAAATGTTCTCTGATAAGTAGATGCTGATCCATGTGGGGGAGGCGTAGGAAAAACGGAGAAACTGGGCACAGGGAATGGTGGGATGGGAGGGGAAAGGGATGGGAGGGGAACGGGGCAGGAAAGGTGGTGGAATGAGATGACATCCTCACCCAGGTACACGTCGGACTGCACATGTGGTGGGACGCTCCGTTGTGTACAACCAGAGAAATGAAAAGTCCTGCTGCACTTGTGTAAAACGAATCAAAATGCATTCTGCTGTCATCTATGCCTAATTAGAATAAATCAATTAATTAAAAAAGAGATCCTCAGTGTGGATGAGGACCTGGAGAGAAGGGACCCTGGTGCTGTGGTGGACTGCAGACTGACATGGCCATCCCAGAAGGGAAGGGTCCCCGGTCTGAACCCCCAACAGACAGGTGCACGCCCGACTCCACTGTTCCTTTTTTCCTCTTCCCTCCTTTTTCTTTCTTCAGCTACAGAGATTTTTATCACAGGGGAGACTACCAGGGAGCTAGTCAAAGCCCTTTTTATTTTTGAGACAGAGTCCCACTAAACTTTCAAGACTGGCCTCAAATTTGCAATCCTCTCACCTCAGCCTCCCAAGTTGCTGAACTTACAGGCATGGACCCTGTGCCCAGCTTGTACTCTATTTTCTACAATACCCAAGATAGGAGATGGCCTAACTGTCCATCAACAGACGAATCGATAAGGAAATCCAGGTTGTTGTGAATATTATCAGGCCTTCACATAGAAGGAGCCCTGCCACTTGTGAGCACAAGAACAACTTCAGAGGATGCTGTGGAAGAGAAGCAAGTCAGATAGAGGGTGAAAGCACCGAGTCATCTCACGGACGGGTAGAACCAAACTGGTAGGAGCAGAGAGTGGAGTGGTGGGTCCAGGATTGGGGGTGAGGGAGATGGGGCSGTGGCAAAAGGGGACCCATGCTCATTTCTAAGGTGAACAAGTTCTGGATCTCCAAGGTGCAGCACGGTCACGCCTATTGATGATGACACATTGCGCCTTGAAGTCTGAGTCTGAGTAGATATTACGTGCTCTCACACACCCACAAGAGGTGAACGCGTAGCGATGGACAGAGGCACCATCTTGCCTGGGGAAATCATTCCCTTCTACGGTGCATTCACCCATCAACCAGATGCACAGCCTATGCCCACACGCAGCGCCTGCCTGTCAGCTGCCCAACCACAAAGCCGGGGAGTGGAAAACACAGTGGGATGCACTTCAGGAGACGTGGGAGCCGCTGCATGGACACGGCCAGTCTCAGCTCCTTGGCAGGGTGAGGTGGGAGCATCTGTTGGGCCCAGTGCAAAGCAGCCTGAGCAACAGCCGCAACCTCAGAAGAGGGCGTGAAGAGACAAGGGTTCACCTCTCACGCCTGAAGCTGCCTCTGGGTCCTGCAGCCCTCAGCAGTGCCAGGATCTGAAGCCATGGAGGCTGGGAGGTGGCAGAGGGAGCAGTGTGCCCCAGTGGGCGTCCAGGATCAGACCTCCCTGCCTGGGGCTGGGACTGGCCCAGCCCCCCGGGTGTTTTCACATCTGTGCAACTGGCTGAATGTAGCCAATCTGGTGAAGCTGCTCACAGGTCTCTGAATTTTCCATCCATAAAATGCAGATGTATAGGCCAGCCTCAGCAAGGGCCAGGCGCTGAGCTGCTCAGTGAGATCCTGTCTCCAGATAAAATGCAAAATGGGGCTGGGGACAGAGTGCCCCTGAGTTCCATCCCCAGTACCAAAACAAACAAACGAAAACCCAAAAACAAAAAAATCACAGATGTGTAGTTTCCCAGGGCACAAATGTAGCCTTCAATCATTTGAGTCCTCCTCAACCTGACCACTCACTCTGTAAGCCAGCATTTGTCTTTATCGCAATGCGGTCTTCACTCTTAGCCCCTCAACGTTCTAGCACCCGCAATGAGAGAGACTTAGTGCCTCACTGCCCGCAAGTCCACTGCAAGGGTTGCATATACCACATGTCCATCACTTGACCTGTGACTACCAGCTTTTCCTGAGGTTGCAGAAGGGTCAACGTGTGAAGGGAAACTAGGACACTGCTGGGAAGTCAGGGAGGGAAGTAACTGGTGGGCATGGTGCCCGGAGGGTCAACCTGAGGGACAGGAAAGAAAGAGGCGAGGTGAGGTGCTGGGTGACCACTAGAATGGAGAGAGAGGGATGGAGATGGGGTGGGGGGAGAGAAGGAGGGAGGGAGAGAGGGAGGGGGAGAGATGGAGGGGGAGGGAGAGGGGGGAGAGAAGAGAGGAAGGGGAGAGGGAAAGAAAGAGGGAGAGATAGATGCAGGGAGGGAGGGAGAGAGGCGGTGGAGGAAGGAGGAGGAGCACAGAAGCACCTGGAAGGGGACACATATCCCCAAACTGAAAGCAGTTTCAGAAAATCCTCTCTGGAAAACATTTTAAAAAGGGGTGGTGGGCATGGGTCTCTGAAATCAAAGAGAGAACAGTACTAATAAATAGAGTAATAAATCAAAAATAAACATCGGGGCTGGGGATGTGGCTCAAGCGGTATCGCGCTCGCCTGGCATGCATGCGGCCCTGGTTCGATCCTCAGCACCACATACCAACAAAGATGTTGTGTCCGCCGAAAACTAAAAAATAAATATAAAAAAAATTCTCTCTCTCTCTCTCTCTCTCTTTGAAAAAAAAAAATCCTCTGAGGAGGTAGCACAGGGTGCGGTGCTCTCCAGGCGCCCTGGGGCCAGTGTGCCAAGCCCAGGGGAGGAGGCCGGTGGTCTCCATGGGGTTATCTCTGAGCGCATTTCTGAATGCCCCTCCCTGATCACACAGAGGAGATTACAACCCAGGGAGCAGCCCTATAGACTTTCTCAGAACCCTGCCTCACTAGCTCCTCTGGCAATGTTTAATTGCTTGAGAAAACTTACACTTTATGAGGTTCTAACTTAAAAGCTAATCATAATTTTGTTTATCCTGGCATTCTCAGCATCTTTAGCATTTTTTCTTGTTTCAAAGAAGCAGGAGAAAAGATGTATGAAGACCAGATGTTACAATCCAACTGCCAGAGTTCAAAGCCTCGCTTCAGCACTTCCTGCTTCTGCAACACCCAACTCCTGGCTGGGGCTTGGTTTCTGATATGTCAGAAGTTGTGGTGATGAGCACAGCTCCTTGTTAGGTAATAATGTTGCAGGTAATTGTTTCACCACCACAGGGTCTTGTGTGTGTGGCCAAGGCTGTCCTCAAATTGAGATCCTCCTGCCTCAGCCTCCCAAGTCTCTACAACTACAGATGTGAACACTAATTCCTGTGTTAAATGTGAGCTCCTTTCTGAAAAGGCCAATATCCAGTCACAGAAAACTAACCCAAATCAAAACCAATCTAAGGCGTCCTGATCCTCAACTCACACACGTAATGGGTGAAATAAGAAACCCCCCTATCTGACATCCCACCAACCCAACAAGCAAACTCCACCGTCTGAGGAAACTTACAGTTTGAAGAGCTGCGGCCCAGGGAGGATGGAGGAGGGCTCTGATCAGGTCTGGCGGGAATCCTGGGTATTCACCAGCCCAGCGCTCCACCCTTTTCTAAAACACACCTCTTTTGACTAAATCCCGTCCCAGAGCCAGGCCCAGGGTCCACTCTCCATATTTCCTTTAACCCACTGTGTGCCAGGTACACTTTGGAGAGAGCTTACTTCCAGCAGAGGGGCCAACCCAGAGTTGTGTGAAACACTCAGTTGTCCTGTTTCTTTAATATTCTTTGATCTTAAAATTCCCTTGACCTTTCTTGTGCCTTCTTTTGCCCCCCTCTCCTGCTCTTTGTCACCACTGAGCTGCGTCCCCCTCCATCGCCTGGATTGTGGGGCCCCAGTCTCCCACCTTCCTAGCCTTTCTTTCTCTTTATGACACTGGTATCTTTGAAGAATATACTCGTGTGTGTGTGTGTGTGTGTGTGTGTGTTTTACTGAGGCTGAACTCAGGGGTTCCCTTCCACTGAGCCCATTCCACTTCTTTTTGGTTTTTGAGTTAGGTTCCCGCTGAGCGTCTGATTTTCCCCAGGATTACGTTGAGTTCAGGCACATTGGGCTGGAGGATCCCAGAGGAGGGTCTGTCTTCTGAGAATATCATTTCCAGACACAGATGACATTAATTTGTCCTTTATTAAGGATCATGTACTTAAAGTATTTGTTTCCACTATGCAAATGACATTTTTCTTGGGTGATTATATATCTGTATGGAAATCATTTAAGACTGAAAATATGCCATTTCTCACCAGATTATCCACCAGTAGAAAGATTATTTAAATAACATCACTTAGCAAAACAACCTTACTACCTACCATTTTACATTGCTTTTAGTTGGTTGGTTGGTTGGTTGGTGGGGACTGGCTTACATCCACCATTTCTGTGGGCTACACCCCATGTCTTTATTTCCTGGGCTAAATGGATCCATAGTTAAGATTCACAGCTACTTCCAGAGTTTGAAAGTGGGGGCCAGTTTTTTCTTGTTACAAAGAAGCAGGAGAAAGTCTGCATAGTACTCGAGTGTAAATTCCATAGCCCCTGGGTATTGTATTTTCATCTTTGTCAGTAAGTTAGCTGAAAGATACCTCCTTTGTAATTCAAGTTAGCTCGAACATTTCTCTCCATTTTGGGGAACACACACACACACATACACTCACACAGACACATTGGTGGCTAATTCATGCTCTTACTATGTATCTGCTGAAGTGTAAGCTGACCTTCATGAATCTAAAATAATTCTTTTTAAAGTGAAGGACATGGCTAGGTGCAGTGACGTCATCTCAGCAGCTCAAGAGGCTGAGGAAAGGCAATCCTAAAGTAGAGGCCAGCCTGATCGACTTACCGAGCCCTGTCTCAAAAACAGAAATGACTGGGGGTGCGGCTCAGGGGTCGAGCACCCGGGTTCATCCCCGGTGTGTGGTGGGTGTCGGGGAGAGCCGGTCCGAGCCAACGTAGGCCACAGGAGCTGCATCCAGGCCTCTCCCAGGGCCCGGGCGGGACTCGGCCTCCACGCGGCGGCGTTGTCCACGTTCCCTGCCGAGGTGCCTACAGTGGTCCCCGCTGACATTGGTGACTTCAGACACCTTACAGTTCCAAGGTGGCTTCTTTCCCACTTCTACTGGGTGCAGTTTATTTTGAAGGACCCAAGAGGCGCCAGAGCCGTCAGGAGCCCCATGTGGGTCCTGGAACTGGGGTCCCACCCAGGGCCCTGCCAAGTCCCACGCGCACACAGAGGTCCACGCAGGGGTCCCCCTCCACGGAAGGAGGGACCCCACAGTGGGGTGCGGCTTGCCCCCGAGGGCTGGGAGAACCCGGTGCCGCTTCACCCTGGGGTGGCCCGGGCGGGTCCCGGTGTCCTGCGTGTGCTCCCGGGGGAGGGGGGGGCTGCACACTCCTGCGCCCTGTGGCCGCTCGGGCGCCACTTCGCCACGTGTGTCCCCTCTCAACGCGAGTGACCCGCACTGTGCGAGGCCAGCCGCCTGCCCTCGGGGCTCGCGGCCCGGAGCGGGACTCTCTACCCGTGGGCTCACTCCTCACCGCGGGGCACCGCACCCGGAGGGCGGGCGGCTTCCCACGGGGCCTTGCCGCGTGGCCTGCCCGGGCCCACAGGCCGCAGCGCGCGGAGGCGCCTGGGAAATGAGGCCCGGCCCCGCCCCTCCGCCGCGTGGCCTCCTGGGCCGGTGCCCTGACTTCCGGCCGCGGCTGGCGGGCACGCATGCGCGCCGCCCCAGCTGGCCTCGGCCCTGGGGTTGGGGGGTCCGACGGCAGCCCAGCGCCGTCCTGTCCGTGTTCTGGGGTGTGGGGCCGGTGACTGCTGCGCCCGTGGATGCCAGGAGTTAATGACTAACTGTCCACGTGGCCAAAGAGTGGGCAGCACCAGGCTTCGACCCTCAGGCCTGGGGACAGACCCTGGAATGTCCTCCACCTCGCGGGGAAGGGAGCGACTTCTGGGGTCTGGTGGTTCTTTTCTCCTTTGCGCTGTTTGCTGTGTGGCAGTATTTTAATAAGATGAATCTTTATTTTAATAAGATTAATCTTTAGAAAACATGATTTCTCTTAAAATGTAAAAGAGGGAAGTTGGTCTGCCAAGATGATCACTGATGGTGGAGGCGTGATGAGTGGTTTTCCTCCTTGCGCTTCTCTCTTTTAGAACATTTATAAGCATAATCAGATGCGAATACAGGTAACAAAGTGGTACAGCCTGCCGCGCCCCCACCTGCCTCGCCCACAGATTCAAATCAGGTGGTCGGAGCTGTCAGGTGCAGGACAGGCTGCGTAAGCTGTCTGCAGGGCAGGCCAAACAAAGTTAGCTGCAGGGTGACCTGGCCTCTCAAACCCTCTGTCTGGCTCTTTATCATCTGATTGCTTCAAGCCCAAACGCTCAAGGCTGAACACTTAACCCCCTTGTGTGCCAACAAGGCAGCTTGCAGACCCAGAGACCCCATTAGATTTGGGCTATAAAAGCCCCTCCTGCTGGGCCTCTCTCTGTCTCTCTCTCTCTCTTTCTCTTTCTCTTTCTTCTCCTCTGTTGCACTGCTGCAATAAAGCTCTCTTGGTCGCTCTGAGTGTTGTGGTCACTTTCCTTTCATTGGTGCCAAAAACCCGGGAGAGGGTTAAAACCCACTTTGGGGTCCCTCTTCCTTCGGAAGTGCCACTCACAGGACGGCCTGAACCCATTTTCTCGACCTCAGAACTCCATCCACCACCGACCTTCGATTGGTGAGTTTCCCCTCCCTGGAGTCCTAAACCCAATGGTGGTGTCAGGAGGATTTGACCTTTGATCCTCTGGTAAACCTGTCTGCCCACCTTCAGGGAGGAAAACACCCCACCACAGCCTTCAAGGCCACGGTGGCCCTCAGGGACTCCTTCCTTGGGCAGATTAGACTCCTGGGTTCAAAATTATTCCCTTCCCTTCCCAGCTGGTAGCTTACCAGCGTAGGCTTTGTAGGTCTCCCTCAAAGGACTGTGTAACCTCTGGGGACACATAACAGAGAACCAAACATCACACCCACCCAGACCTTCATGATCTCAGTGGTTCATAAAGTCCTCGTCCTCACCTTCAAGACTCGGCCGCTAGAGAGACGCTTACCCTCCCCTTCCTCTCTCTTCCCCTGTCTCTCTCTCTCCCCTCTTTCTGGCCCTGGGAGTATCCGGCCTCTCCAGGAGGGGTCCCAAAAAGCCTTGGCCAAGGTCTCCTACTGCTCCAGCTCCGTCCAGGACGAGAGCTTGACTGTCAGGATTCGGTGACGACCAATCTCTGCAGCTCGAACCTGTCACTAAGGCACTCCTGATTTTTGGCTCTAACGGGGACACCCCTTTTGCCAATAAATCAGTTTCCTCCTTCTCTCTTATACTATGTTTTCGTCTCCTTCCCTCTCCCTTATACTACGTTTGCATCTCCTTCTCCCTCATACTACATTTGCGTCCTCTTCCCTCCTCCTTTTACTACGTTTGAGACATGGGTAGTGTGTCCTCTCTGCCGGTCGACTCTCCCCTACAATGCCTCTTGGATAACCTCAAAACCCTCTCCTTGACACCAGACATCAAACCCAAAAATTGATCAAATATAGCACCCAGGCCTGGCCCACTTATCCCTTAGACAACCAAAGCAGATGGTCCCCTTTGGGGTCCCTGGGTCCCTCCATTCTGAGGGATCTCTACAATTACTGTGAGCATTCGAAAAAATGGGTAGAGATCACTTTCTTCTTGCTCCGATCCAATCCTGCTCTCTGCACCTCTTGTAAACCTCTACAAGTTCTTCCAGCTTGCAAACCAACTCCCCCAACCATGATCCCCAACTTTCTCCTCCTCCGGACTCCTCCACTACTTTTGACCCTGCTAATAAACCTCCATCCTATTGCCTGCCTCCATCCTATCGCCTGGCTCGAATAAGTCCTCACCCTCAGCCATCTGCCCCAGGCTCTCCGCCATCACTCCCACCTCAGTAACCTGCTTTCTCCCCTCCAATCACTAGATCAAAAACGTACACCACGTTGCCCCCTTGCTGAGGTAGCAGGTACTGAGGTACCCTCCACCCACTCACTCCTCTCTTCTACTGTTAGCACCCACACTGGGTCCCACCAGGTCCTCTTACCAGCTAACCCAAAGCTCAAATGAGCTGAGGAGAGCCCTCAGACCCCTATCCAAGATCTGGTAAAAATAGCTTTTAAAGTTGCTTTGTCATCACTGAAAACAGGTTACTAAGAATTAAAGTCCCTTACAGGCTTTTTGGGATATTCACTCCTGTCTTCCCCTCTGCTCTACCTGTTCTACTGCTCAAGTTTCCTTGCTAGGGAAATCCCAAACCCCTTTCCCATTATTGTTTCCCATCTCCTTCCTCATTCTCAGATCCACCAGAGCTGCTCTCAGCCCCGCCTTCCCGTCTTCCCTCTCCCTACCAGGCCCACAGAAAAGTCTTCACTGACCTTCTCCAGAATCTTCACCATGGCTGACTTTAGGACTTTCAGCAAAATAATCTCTACAAAAGAGTTTAGTGTGGATAAACTTCCTCTTTTCATGTTGCCCTGTTTTACTTGGCCACTGGCTGGAAAAATCAGCACTCCAGGTGCTGGACACCCCCTTACTAGTTTTTCACAAAATATGTGAACAAGGCCTCTGGTCTTGAGCTGGGCTTCACAGAGATGGCTACATTTCTAAGATAAGGGAGTTACCAACTGGGCTCCATGGGAACAGCTGGCAGGGGGAGGAAAGAGAGGGGAGAAAAGCTCTCCCCTTCCCAGGTGTCCTTGAAGGGTTAACTTGCCCAGAACAGAGGAGAAAAAAACTGCTTTTTGTGAACTTCTGCAGATTGTGAACTTCTGAGCCCCTCCCCTTACATGTTGGGTGCAAAATTCTGAAACTACCTAAACTCTGGGTTCAGGGATTAATTGATTACAGAAACTGTGCCCTTCTAATCTGGCTGCAACCAAATAAGACTGTTTCCCTGACTTTGGTGCTATCTTAGGTGCCTTGCCTTGTCCGTCCCTACACACTTAAACATTGTTCATGTTTTTATGAAATGATCAACAGATGTGATTAATTGTGTGCTGCAAATAACAAAATATCTCTTATTAAAATGGAATAATTTACCTAAATTCAGAAATTTACAAGGATTGGTTCAAAGTGTGAATAAAGAAGGAGTTAAAAGATGGGAAAGAGAAATTAGAAGGTTCTAAGTATGGATTTAATAGAAGGAAAATGTGTTTCTGGATAAGAGAGTCTATGTGATTAAGTAAATAAGAGGGTTTAAGCAAGTGATAACCAAGGTCTGTGTGTGTTGCCTATATAAGTTTAAGCAAGTGATAAAGAAGGTCTGTGTGTGTTGCCTATGTAGGTTTGAGTAAGTGATAAAGAAGGTCTGTGTATGTTGGTTATATATGTAAGTTTTTTGAGCAAGTAATCTTGAAGGAATTAAGGATTATACAATTATGGTTAATCAACAACTGTTATTTTGCAATATTGTAATGTGTTATTTCTTTAAGAGCTAAACTTGATTAATATAAAAAACATCAATGTAATTGCGGTACTATTACTTTTCTTTGTATATTAAATGTGTTCATATTTTCCAGGTATATAAGTCTTTAAGGTAGAAGCTTAAAAAAATTATATCAAACTGATGTTCCCCAAAAGGTAGCATGGTAATTTTAGGCTTATAAAAATAACATTGGAGATTTATTTATATCATTTAATGTTCTATCACTGGACCTGTTATCAATAAGATTAATATAAAGTTCTATACACTGGGTACAATTTAAATGTAATATCATATTGTGTTAGCTAGTATTCATGTGACCTCGGACAACAATATATGTAAACTTTATAAAATGATTTTTAAAAACAAAGATCAGCTTCAACACTAGAACACTTTACCTAAGATTTATGAAGAGCCCTGGCTTACCTGAGATAAGGCTGTGCCTCCCATCTTACCACATGTCAGAATGACTCCAAAGTAGGCCAGACTTCAGCTAAAGCCCAGTACTCTCAATTTAAGGTGAAACTGACTTTGCTGGATGTTTAAGATCAAGACTTAAACTTAAATTAAAATGGCCAAGAAAACAATATCTGGCTCTGGCCCTCTGAGTCAGTCTGAATCCAGGGAACACATAACCTCCTGATCAGGGAGATTAATGACACCACTGGAGAATGAAAAGGCAATCAGTGCATTTGCTGTGAATAGGAGGGTCATAGGAGAAGGGAGACATCCCTGATGCTTCCAAGGGAAGCCACATGGTCAAGCAAGACCTGGACCCATCTTAGCGCAAACAGTACTATCCGAACTAAGAAGCTGCTCTCAGGTTCCCCCATGAGCGACCCCTGTGGGAACTCGGCTGACTCTTAACAATAGAGAGAAATAAAGTCAATTTTGACCAGCTTGATCTTACACACCTACCCAAAACAGTTAAGCCAAAAAGTCATTCCTAGGAGTAATGAAAGACAAAAACAGCTAGAAAAGAGGAGACAGCAACTAGCCAACAGTCTCCATGGGGAATGTTCAGTCAAGTATGGCCTTGGCTCCTCCCCCTCACAGGACCTCTATTAGTCCTCTTTATGTTCCTCCTAATAGGACCATGTCTATTAAATTGCCTTCAGAAGTTCCTGCAAGATCAGATACACAAATTCACCAACCAGTCAGTCAACCAACTGCTTCTTTAAGACTACCAGCCCCTGATGCCCAAGATGGAGACCTACGACTCCTGACCAACTCCTCTGGCTCCAGGGACTCTGCCCCCACATAAAACCCTCCCTAACCCCTTTTCCAGATTTTACAACCCCTCTTTCACTTCCTAGGAATGAGAACTACTCTCCAGCAGGTCCACTCAGCTTGTTCTATCTGCTCTACAGCATCCCCACAAGGAAGCATCAAACCTACACTCCCCAAACCTCAGATGAGGAGCCACCAGCCAGGCGAAGACTGGTAGATCAACTCCACCCAGATGCTTCGGCACAATAAGCTTCACTGCCGACTTACTTTGGTTGATACTTTTCAGGTTGGATAGATGCCTTCCCTACATCCAGGGAAACTGCTGACACTGTTGCCTCCATCCTCATTGAGGGGATCATTCCCAGGTTCAGACTTCCTGCCTCCATCCAGTCAGACAACAGTCTGGCCTTCACTTCTCAGGTTGTTCAACTAGTCTCCAAAGGCCTCCACATCACTTGGAGGCTCCCCATCCCCTACCAACACTGAGTGGTATTTCCTCGGGTAAGGTTGAGAGGCCTAAAGGCATTCTCAGGATCATCTCACTAAACTTGCTATTAAACTCAGGCTCTTCTGGCCCAATCTCCTGCCGTTGGCCCTCACCTGAATTCAGGCAGCCCCTTGAGCTCCCTCAGGCCTTAGCCCCTTTGAGCAATTCTATGGGTGTCCTTTCTTAACTACCCAAAGCTTTCCCATCACTCCTCCTCCCCTTGTGTCCTACCTGCCCTATCTCACACTTCTATGCAAACTCCTAAGGGAACATGCAGACCAGTGCCTTCCTGCTCCATTCACTGCCTCAATCCCAGCACAACCACCAACTGAACTGGAAACTCTTCAACTGGGTGACTCAGTCTTATTCAGGAACTGCATTCTCAATCATTGGAACCTCGCTGGACGGGACCCCATACAGTCATACATACTACCCCAATGGTGACCAAGCTTTTAGACACTCTTCCTGGTATTATGTCTCCTGCCTTAAAAAGGCACCTGTTCCTAATGTCCAGTCCTGGACTTCCACCACGACTACCAAACTCAAAATTTCTTGCCAACCCTCTCCTTCTTTTGCCAGCATCTCGGCTGGCACTGAATCACGAGCCACCACACAGCTTTGTAGATTCAAACAGCAATTCATTATTCCCGAACTCACACCGGCCTCCAACAAACACGTTCTGATGAAATCTCCAATAAGCCGCCGCCCCAAATCACCTACTCCATGAGGCTTTTTCCAAATCCCCTTTTGAATCTCATGAGAACTCAACGGGAACAAACAGCTGGAACACCCTAATCCCAGCAGCAATAATCTTCAACCTCCAACTTCCCTAAAACCCCTATTGTCTTAAACCGGGAAACGCCTTAAACCGGGAACACCCTAAACCCAAGGACCGGGATACTTCCTCAAACCTGCAGGATACTTCCTCAAACCTGGATCCACCCTCGATCACCTTGAGCAGGGTCATCTTAC